ACAAACTTATTATCAAGTTAAGGGATTAAGTTTGGTTGAAGCCATTATTGTTTTAGAAAAGTTGTTTGACGGATACTGATGGGAAAGGAATCAATTATTCATATTCATAATGTTAAGTTTTAAACTTATTAACCATACATATTTTCTCTTTGGTGATTAAATTTCCACCAGATTGAATATTTTTTAAATAATTAAAAATTCCAAATTATCATTATCGGCATTATAATTTTTAAGGGTAAGGTATTGTTTTAACATTTCTATAATTTTTAATATTTTGTATTGTCATATTAAATACTAGTGCAAAATGTATTTGTTGGCAACAGTGTACCTTTATTATGTAGGTTACATTGAGGTATTTAATTAGTTACCATATTATACCACTTTTTTTAACCTTTCAATGCCAATTTTTTTTTAGTTTTATAATCTACAATTTGTTTACATAAATTTATTTAGAATTTGGGAAAAATAAGTAAAAAAGTATGTATATATAAAAAAGTACATTTATAACATCTGGTAGACAGCAATTTCTTTAATAACTATAGGGCGCCACCTAAATAAAATAAAATAATATAATATGCATGTTGCGTTTCTGCAACAATCGGCACTGAAGGGTTAAGGCTTACGTTAAAACGCTTTTGTTATTTTTTATTTAGCGACCATTTAGCTAACGAAATGTTTTTGTTGGGTTATATAATAAACTGAACAATGATGTAGTATTTTGTTCATATCTAAATTGTTTAGTTGTGTATATAAAAACAAAAACAAAACATCTCATATGTTATAAATAATACTATATAAAATATAACTAACTAAATATAACTCTTTTTAATTAACTAATTTACGATAAAATTTAAAGTTTTTTTTTTTTTTGAATAATAATAATAAATCATAAATACTATATTCGTGTGCAAATTTGTAGTCATAGTTATGTTAACTAGGGTGGCGCAAAAAAAATCGATCTTCGAAATGTTAATGGGCTAACATTTAAATTTGTTCTATACATCAAAAAAGAGACTTAGTGAAAATTTGAGATAAAAAAAAAAAATTTTACTGGTCGCTCAACGCGTTTTAAGTAAAATTGACCAAAAATTTTCAAAAAACCCAAAAATGACTTAAATTATAACATTTTTGGTCAAAAATCCTCATTAGCACATCTAAATTGTAGTATTTTTTGCGTTGAGTACAACTGTTTGAGTTTTAAAATCCTAAGTTAAAAATTAATTACGTAATCAACAAAAATTCGTAATTAAAAGGTTAATTTTCAATTAAGCTTAAATTAACTAAAAAAATTTTTTTTTTTAATTTTTAATACTTTATTTTGTTGAACGTTATGTATGTTTCTAGTGAAAACAATTTTTTTTACTAATGTTTAAAACTTATACCTTTTCTTGTCATTTTTTCGTGCACCAAAATGAACGTTTTACTGAAAAATGTGTATTATGTGTCAAATAATAAAATACTTATCGTTATGAATTTTGGCTGTTATATTTGATTTCAATTTATTTAATTTATATATTTTTTATTATATATAACACAATATTAATAAAAAACTTTATTATTATAATATAAAAGTTCAGAAAAAACTTTTTCTAAATGTTTATTAAAACTGATTTGTTGCAATCAGGAAACTCATTTCTATGTTTTTCTACTAATTGTAAAATATATTGTTTTTGTTCCTCATCCGTCTTTAAAGAATTGTTAAATTGTGTCATTAAAGCAATTTCTCTTTCGACTGGATCATTTACAACAAATAATGATTGCACTTTATTATATGCAGACATATAATTTTTATTTTTAGACCAAGTACTGGGATCGTCATTAAAAAAATCGTCACTAATATTGAGCGCCGAAACAATTGTTTTGTATTTTTAGTTACAAATTGCTGTAAACCATAATTTTTGTTTATTGTTTCAACTGAAAATCGTTTTTTCGGATTTATTTCACCTTTTTTATTTAAAGCTTTGACTGTTTTAATTTTGTCTTCATTTGATAGCCTGTCATCAAAAATGCTAGTCTGATAAGCGTTTCACTTTGATACCATAAATATCCAGAAAACGCTTTAACCGCCTCGGCGCTTATACACTTTTAATATCGCTGTATTGTCTTAATTGTATTAAAAGATTTAGATCATTTTTAGGTGCTTTATTAGCACATGAACTAGTAAACCAATATTTAATATAAACTCTTTAAATAAACAAATTGAACTGATGAATACCTTTCAATTCAGGAGCTGTCAATTAAAATTGTTTTTGAAACATATACATTCTTAAGCAATAAATAATTTTTCATACTGTGTTATATATAATTAAAAATATATAAATTAAATAAATTGTAATCAAATATAACAGCCAAAATTCATAACGATAAGTATTTTATTATTTGACACATAATACACATTTTTCAGTAAAACGTTCATTTTGGTGCACGAAAAAATGACAAGAAAAGGTATAAGTTTTTAACATTAGTAAAAAAAATTTTTTTCACTAGAAACATACATAACGTTCAACAAAATAAAGTATTAAAAATATAAAAAAAAATTTTTTTTAGTTAATTTAAGCTTAATTGAAAATTAACCTTTTAATTACGAATTTTTGTTAATTACGTAATTAATTTTTAACTTAGGATTTTAAAACTCAAACAGTTGTACTCAACGCAAAAAATACTACAATTTAGATGTGCTAACGAGGATTTTTGACCAAAAATGTTATAATTTAAGTCATTTTTGGGTTTTTTGAAAATGTTTGGTCAATTTACTTAAAACGCGTTGAGCGACCAGTAAATTTTTTTTTTTTTCTCAAATTTTCACCAAGTCTCTTTTTTGATGTATAGAACAAATTTAAATGTTAGCCCATTAACATTTCGAAGATCGATTTTTTTCGCGCCACCCTAATGTTAACATTCAATAGTTCAATAGGGCGTGTTCATCAAAATGAATCATGTATTTTTAATTGAAACAATCTAAATAAGTCCGCAAAGTCAGGGTGGAATGGATATTTATTTGAAGGTATAAAAACTAATTTAAAACAAGGAATTAAATTCAGTAAAAAAAACGGTGACGGTTTTTAAATCAGTAGTCACTATAAACTATAAAGCCAAAATAATATATTACAATGTAATAGAGAATTACTAAATAAATTATTTTCTTAGCAGATTTTGTTTAATTCGTTTTAGCGTTTTAATTACGCTTTGGTGCTTAAATGTTTGTTTTTAATAATAACTTAGCCGAGCGATATTATAAAAAGATTAATCATATTGTGAGCTCACACGATCAACCAAAATTCAATAAAACATAATTTCGTTTATGCCAATAAAACACATCAACGACGGTGCGAGTTAAAAAATATTCTCATGAACTTCAAGGGTTAGAATCAGAAAATATGTACCTATATTTTGTTTGAAAATTACTCGACCTTTAATTATTGTGGTTTCGGAAAAGACAGATCCAGAGACCAATATATTTTTGTTTGTGACCATATTATTACATTTGGTTGAGCTGGGTGGACAAATGCACGTTGTCCAGTCAGATTTCATCTAAACATTTGACTAAATTTCGTCTGGTAATATCGTTTGGAGTTTTTGGCGCTCCTTTGTTGCGGTTGAAGACATGCTTGATAGGCTGTCACAATGAGTGAAGATCAATGGTGATTTGTCAAACCCAATTCCAATTCTCTCTTGAATCCCACATAAGGGAATCGTTTGTCACCGTTGCTGTGTTGAATTTTGTGTAACGGATATAGGTCGTTTTGAATATTGTAGCCATTTTGTGGACAATTTAAAGAGTGTAGGAAAAACTATGTCAGGGTTTAAAAAACCCATCTTGATACAAGATACAAGATAGACAGATAAAATATATAGGTAACCATTGTATCGACAATAATCAGACCCCAAAATCCGTTCAAAAAACTTCGGTTATAGTATTTTTGATAGAACCACTTTTTTGCGAAATGTTGATGTTTCCTCACTCAATTTTAATTTAGTATTATTTTTTTAATCTGTCTAAATGCTGTGAAAACTAAACGATTTTATAATGAGTTATATTTTCCTAATATTTGCTTTATTTAAGTAGATTATTTAATAATAATACGATTCAATAGTATGTACGAATAGGTTTGCGTGCGATTTTAGAAAGAGTATAAAATTGCTTTTTCCGCTACATTACGTTTAAAAAGAACTATATCACTGATTTTCTTAGAAAATTGTCTTGGCAGTATTAAGGTTAGTAGTGATGCAAGTTATTCGAAATTAAATCACAGTCTTAGAGGTTGGCCGCAGCATAGATCGTTTAAGTTCCCTGATATACTATTAATTTAAATTTAATTTAGTTAACGATCTTAAGTCGTGTCATGCGATTGCACACTTTAAATGTTTTTACCGGTTCACCTTTACGTGTCATACTTGTCATACATTGCTTAAGGGTATTTTAATACGGTTTTCGACATGCTTCCTGGGAAATGTATACTTACATTTATTTTTTCTAAGAAATTTTCTACTCTCCCGAAACGATTAACGTTTTGTTTTTATTTCTATAAAATGTATTTTTAAAACAAGCAAACTCGAGTACAAAAGCCCCGTGGATTACAGATTACCTCTCAATATAATGTACCTAAACGATTCGCAGAAGATATTATTTATTGATCATTTCAATATACAATATTTTTTTCGTTTGGAGTAGAATATGAAGAAAACTTAAACGAAGACTAAATGAAACCGTTGCCCATAAAATGTACCGTACCGTATTATAACTTTTAATATTATACAACAATAAAACGCGTGCGATTTTTAATAACTCTGAACGTTTACGGTTGTTGTATTATGGGAAAAAGTGTTGGGGTCGTTCGACTATAATACAACGTGGATTAAATTTCTACGCAGTTGACGCCGGATATTTTTTAGACGGGTAAATAATCCGCCGACAGTAATTAACTGCTTTTCCGATGGTAACTTTTTCGGGGAATATTCGGGTAAAACATAATGGGAGTATAATAATTATAATATCCAACCTGTCGGAACTGCCGTATGGCGCCGTTTATCCGGAGCGAGTCGGCCGCTATCATGGCAATGTTGTCGGCCGGATCTCTGAGCTGCCGGAGGGACGAGCTAGGCTGATGATGCATGTGACAACAGTGGCCCGAGCACATGGAAACGCTTCCGGTAGCCTCGGGCTGTGAGCTCTGTCGGATGATCCGCGAGCTGGGCGACGTGGTGAGCAACACGGGCGGCGGCGGCGTCAGGCCGTACCCGGATCCGGTGCCGCCGCTTCCGCCGCAGCCGCCTCCGCCGATGCTGCCGGCGCCTCCGATGCTGCCCCGCACGCTCTCCCTGGACACCGACCTGGATATTATGCAGTGGCTCTTCCGCCGGTGACACTGGCAACGGCTGACGGCCAGGTATCGGCAGTGCAGCTCGATATCGGGCACCGACCTGGCCGCGTTCGCGTCGTCCTGCAGACCCGCCGCCAGACACATGGGCGGCCCGCTCTCGTCGCTGCTACCCAACATCGGCGTGGCGTTCCGCAAGTCCCGGTTATGGTGCATGGACGCCGACAGCGACGTGGTGCAGTCTTGTCTGGTCAACACCGGTTTGCCGGACGGTCCACCGTGACCGCCGCCGCCACCGCCGCCATTGCCTGCGCCCCCGAGGGAAGTGCCCCTGACCACCGACGGCGGACTTTTCACCAGCAGCGACGCCGTCTCTTCGCTGCTGCCGTAACCGCAATTGGCCACCGTCTCGGACATAATGCCTGCACCTTTGGTTAACTCATCATGATGATCACCTGAAATCAAACGGCACTTTTTTAACTCAATAATGCATTGTCTGCGCCGATTTTAAGTCAAACAATTTGTTAAAACATTTTTTTAAATGTAATCGATATATTATTCAATAACACTAAGTATTGGTGACATTGTCTGTGTCTCGTTTAATGTTGTTAATTTGACATATTATAATACATGCGTTAGAATATTTTAAAACTGAACACGTTAGTAAAATAATTTACGAAAACGTTAAAAAAACCATTTGTACACCAAAAGGATTTTCGATATATTTGTCAAAAGTATTACGTCCAGCAAGAGTGTCAAGAAGAAATTTTTAACATCAGATATAAGACGGTATTTATAAACGTTTGAACAATCAACAAGATAAAATGTAAATGCATTTTAAAAGTGCAAAAAGTATACTAATTACAGCACGTTACAACTACAAATTTTCCATTATACGTTCTGTAATTTTCATTTTACTAAAGTATAATTTTACAAGTTTCCAGCGGTCATAATGACATACGTACTTTAAGCACACAGGTTAATACGACTCTAGTACTTTGCTTTTGATTTAAAAGTTAAGAGTAGATATTGCAGGCACAATAAAAAGAATACAAAAAAATAAAGGAGATAATCATTTTAATTAAATTTGAGTTACTGTCGAGTTATGTCGAGTGAAAGTAATCACTTTTTGCGTTAATACAATATTTTCTGTTCTGAAATCTTGTAAATAATAAAATGCTGTTTTCTTTATAAGAGTGTCGTCCTCAAATATATATGTATTTTAATATTCATATTGAATTCAGAAATGTTATAAAAATGACAATTGATACTGAATTTCGCATCAGTTATAGTTATTATGATAAATATTTGTGTTTTTTTATAACTTTAAGGAGTAATAATTTAAGAGAAAATTATACCAATAAGTAATTTGGGTAGGTGTTATAATCGGAGTAATAGGAATAATAAGTAATTTAAAAAGTTGACAATGTATCACGCATGACATCTGATTGATTCAGGCTAACTATTCACTTTGTATTAAAATCGAGTGGTTGACTGTCTTTCCTTTAGCAACCATCCAATTAATCAAGAGTCTTTAAATAGTATATATAACTTTTAATGACTTAAATTTTGATTTCTTTTGTCTTAGGAGAAGTATTTTGTGAATTAATCGTGACCTGTCGAATAATCGAATTAAAAAGATAAATATTACCAACGAATGAGGTACGCGAGATCAAGATAAAAAGAACGTTATTCTTTCTACTTAAAATATGGAAGAATGATTTACAAATTATTTCTTATAATATCAAATGCAATTTACATTTTTTAATTTTGCGGTAGGTATTTAAATTTCAAAAATTAATGTACTACTTTTTTCTATTTGATCAAATTTTAATATTGAATTACTATTTACATTAATCTTGCAGCGTGAACCACCTTTTATACTTTGTACTTTTAACGTTAATTCTCACAACTGTTAAGTCCGATTTTCCGATAAACTCAACTTCGGCAATTGTTTTTTTTTATTCTCAGATCAAATTAAATGTTAACCAACACAGACAACATGAACTAATAGGACTTTAGTATAATACACGATATAAGCTGTTCTCTTACGTTGGTAGTAAAAAAGAATTAAGTTTTGCAATTATTGAATAATCCCGACTCTCTGGCCAATACATTATTTCATGTTTAAACATAATAATATATATATATTATCCATGTCATTATACATATCAGTAAGGTAATTGTAATGATGTCATAAATAATGCAATTCAATAAACTATTCCTCAACAGATATGTAGTTATAATTTTGTAAAATTATTACATAATATTATAAGCCTAATTGCAATTTGAATGTTTAATCAACTATCAAGTTAAAAATACAATTGTACAACTTTTATTAGTATATGATTTCTTCCCCTGCAACTGTTGTAACACGAAATTCGTATAATTATAGTTATGTTTATCAACACAGTGCACGGCTGGTGTCATGAGTGCATTTTTTTGTTGAAAAATTTAACGTGAACCAAATAAAGGCTATCAGTGACTTGGGCATAAAATAGCTTAGTACTTAAAACAATTACTATCATACGGCTTTAATTATATTTTATACTACTTTTACAATTACAACATTAGGAATAAATAATTTTAGTAATGGTTTAATCTGACATATTCGATAAATTTATATCAACGATACATTAATACTGTGAAGTAATACTAATATTGTTACAAATTATGTACTATTAGCATTTTAGTTCTAGTTGTAACTCGGCCGATACGAGAAAATATGTGATGTTTTTATGGTGTTATTAGGTTTGTTAATCTGTTAAGCGAAATCGAAGTGCAATTTTTATAAACTCAAAACCAATATACTGACCTCTGTTCGGATTTTATTTCATTTCGGATGTCAATATTATCGTATCGAAATTTGGCGAAACAATCATTGCAGGACCATAATGGGGTGCATATGGCCTAGAAACAACTAAAATCGTGAGATTCAGGGGATTGTTCGCCACATGCTCGGCAAGCAAATCAATTAATTTTGAAAATCGCTAAACGTTCACTTGAAGTATACAATTCTGTAAACATCGAATACCACGCTCGAGCAACGGCACTATCAGTTAAGCCGCTAAACGTTTAATGAACTCGAATCCGCATTGGACAACAAAAATTAGGTGGAAAAGCTCAAAAACCTAGGATATATTTTAAGCCTTAAAAACCATTTTAGAATTGAAAAATAATCTTTGATTTAACTGAAAACAAAAATTATTTCTTATAACAAATAAAAATATGTTTGTTACTTCACTGAAAGAAAAATCACTACCGTATTCATAAAAAACCAAGTTGGGTTAACAATACTCCTATTGCTATGCAGCCAACAAGATTTTATTAAAATATGGAATCTTTCTTGTTTAGTATATGGAGTATTATTTTTGTGGTTAAGGGTTTATTTGAATATTTTATTGCTTCATTTCTTTATTAAATAACCATAAGTAATTTATTTATTTATTCGGACAAATGTCCAATTCACAATATATTTGTATAAATAACAATAATATAATATAAATATAAATACAATATATAACCACAAGTGTTGCTTAATTTTTTTCTAATGTTTCTCGTTCTTTGAATAATTATCAATATCTTGAAATATAATAACTACCCAGAAAACGAATAAATCTACTGATTACTTTTGTTAAGTGATATTGTTAACTTGATCGTTTTTTATAATTTAAATATTTAAGTACTATTGAGGTGTATTGTCGATATGAAAGTATATTACATATTTATAATAATGTTATATTATTTGAAATTGTTAATATCAAGATACAATTAAATAATTGAATAATTAATAGATATGTGCAAAATATATAAACTCGCAGAAATTTAGATAGCTTTTCTCCGCCTGTGATTGGCTGTAAATTATACATTATCAGGCAATTATATGCGCGCCAAAACTTCAGTTTGTAAATTATTTATACGACTAGTAGAATTGAAATATAGAGAATAATTAATTATCAAGACCCTATACAATGTTCAGATTTTAGTATGCTTCATTTATTTTGTATTTAAATGATCATTATAATATTGGTAAAATAAAAATAGTAAAAATAATAAGATACAAGTATAAATAAATATTGCAATGAAACTATGTAATATGTAAGTACCGTAGGTATACAGTAAAAATAATTTAAAATACAATTTTTTTTTTTAACAATTTTAACATATTTATATTTGACCAAGAGTTTGTGTTAAATATTAAGTATTTTCTCAACAATATAATCCCTAATATTGTTTAGTATTTAAATAATATATACTGTTCATTATATATTTTGATATTTATTGTAATGAATGTTGTTCTTAATTAATTCATATAAATTAAAAACAATATTACAATAATTGTTATCTAGGTAATATCTATCAATGCATCTCCGTTTGTTTCTATCTACAGAGACTTCCTTTAATTCCTTTTCAAAAGTGCTTTATTTGAGTCCAACATACTTTAGTTTATCCTTATCTTCAGGAAAATGAATGTAGTTCATTTCTTGCTTTCTACATGATCCTGTACTCTGTTTTCGAGCGATGTACAAGCACATGTGTTGTTACCCATACACCGTAATAAGATTGACTATAGTTTTTTTTAAGAAAATTGGATATATTTTAGATCCCATTTTAGATCTACTTCTAATTAATTTTCAGTACTACAGTTACTAATTCTGACCCACCTTAGTACCAATCGCATACGATTACGGATCGATAGAGAACTATACACAACAACGGCGACCAATTTTATGCGGGTTTCTCGCCGTCAACAGAGGTAACCGTCATCATGTATAGTTTATGGGCAGGCGGATGGTAAACTAAAACGAGGGTAAGTTTCTTGACGACAGGAATCCCGCATAAAATCGGTAGCCGTTCTTGTGTATAGTACCGCTTATCTGTATATTTTAAAATCAATCGTTTCAATACATATGTATTGTTGTATTGTTTTTAAAGATAATACATATCATTTTGATTATACAATATTGGATATTATTAAAAGTTAACAATTACATTTATACATATATTATAACAAATAGGTATTATATTATAACTTTAAGAGAACGGCAGATCCCCTATTTATTAAGGAGCTAGGTAAAGGCAATTTGTTCACAGTCTTTATTTTATGGTTAACCGTGATGTGTAATTATTTATTAATTTCTTATCACTTTCTACTTATTTTATTTAATTAGAACTTTTTTTTGGTAGGTAATTTATTTTGTTTATTTTTATCACATCCTTGACAGCGATTTATAAGAAACATTTTCATCTAAACATGTTCACGAAAAACAAAAAAAGGTAACCTTCAAAGTGATTTTAGATATAAAACACTTATAGCAAATAAGATAGAGGACAAAAAAAAGGAAATCTTAAGTCAATATGATGAATACAAAAAACAATTTTTTAAATCTTTGTAATTTTTTTCTGATTGATATTTTGAAAAACGTCAATAGTAGGTTACAAGCTACAACCTATG